ACAAGTCAACAATAAAAAGAATGTTGTGTTTTTGAATTCTGCACAGAAACATTTCAGGCTTCAACATTTGCATAAGACATTCAGATTTGTTTAGAAATCTTTATTAAAAATGAATGATCATGTTATGTAGAACTATAAGTAGGGATAATTGATATTAATATATTAATATTAATTAATTTAAATGGAAATAAATTAAAAATTGGATATTTACACACACATACAGTACATATACACTCACATTGTATGTAAACTTTATGTATTCACAAGTTGTTTTTTATATAGAGACACTAAAGTTGGTGTTCAAACCATGTGTGTAAGTGTGTTTATTCACACAGTCTTTTTTCTATCAATCCGTTAATGCAAAGAAGACAGCTGTTTTGACAGATTCAGCTTTCCAAGATGGTGAGATGATATAATTGACAGCTACGGAAACTATCATTATGTGCTGTGGTACAAAGGCGAGACATTCTTGGTATCTGGCTGCTATGGAATATATATTTAAATATATATATATATTAGTGGGCTTATTTCTGTCGCTGAGGTTACTAGGAAACTTTCTACAGTTTATTTTTAATATAAACTGTGAAAACATGTTCATTTCCATGCAAGGAAAATATATTCCAGTACATGAAGAAGTTGGTTTTTCAAAAAAAAAACAACCTGTGACATTTACACTTACGCACTTTCTTCAAAAGTGGTTAACATTGCAGCACACAAATAACTGATAAAATTTTAGGATCAGTAAAAAAAAATGTTTTAAACGAAATTAATTCTTTTACTCAGCATGGATGTAATGAACATTCTATTTTGAAAAAGAAAAGAAATCCTGAAAAAAAACTTATCATGGTGTCCACAAAAGTGTTTTCAACATTAATGGTAGTAATAATAATATTAATAATGATGAATGTTTCTTGAGCATCAAATCATCACATTACAATTAATTCTGAAGGACCATGCGACACTGATGACTGGAATAATGATGCTGAAAATTCAGATATCACAGGAATAATTACATTTTAAAACGTAAATAAATCTGGTACTACATAGTGTATATTTCAGAAAAAAACACTAATTATCAAATTATTAATATATTTTGCTACACATGCAGAACTACCTATTTGCAAATTTTCTCTCATTTTACCTTGACTGTATTCAGGTCTAATTTAAATGCTGAAAAATATGAATTCCTGTAAAACCCCAACATTCAGGCTACTTTATGATATATATACAGTAATACATGATCAATACAACCCTCTGGTGCTCTTTGATCTCCTTTGCCTGGAATATTTTCTGTTTAGAATTTTTAAAAATAACATCATCAGAATGGTACGAAACTTGTTGACTTTTATGGCATTTGGAATGTGAACACAGAAAAAAAAATTGAGGGCATGATGCAAGCAGGCTAAGTGGTCACTAGTAGTGATCTTGTCAAAAATGACCGACCATATACAGTAAATGAATGCGAAATCGACAAAAACATAAAAATTATCTATAAATCAGCCATGATGCAGAAAAAAGTGCTCAGCAATGAAGGGGTGAAACTCTGCATCATTAGTGCAAAACAGGTTTATTTTTTTATAAACCTTGACAAAAAGTATTATTGGAGAATTTCTAAAAAAAATAAAAATAAAAATACATTCAAATCCACATATTACAAGGAAGTAATTTTGTCCAAAAACTACTAGAGAATTCATAAATGTATGTTCCATGTATGTTCAATGTCAAATGACACCTTTCATTTTCAGGTGTTCACTCAAATTTGACCGCGAAGATAACAAGTGTGACTCCCAAATGAGGAGCACCATTTAAATGACGTATAGAAGGCTGAAAAACATCACGTCTCTGTTCTAATAAGCCTCTCCAGATCTTTAGTCTGCCGCAGCTAATTAAAAGTGATTTAAGTTATTATGAAGGAGAAAGAGAGAGACGCATACACATACTCAACGTCACGTCTCTCACTCACACATGCACATACTGGCACTGAATGTAGACAGCCAGTGTTGTTTAGGACGGGTGTGACACGATAGCAGGAGGTTGTTCTAAAAAGTAAGAGAGCAAATGGCCAGTGTGACATTAGTGTGAAAATCTGCGGGAACAGCAGCAGGAATGATTCATATGATTGGCTGTACAATAAGTTAAGGACATTGCCTTTTTTAAGAGCATCACACAGAGACATTATTCCTCAGCATCCCCCAGAACATCCCCGTACACAAAAAAAAAAAGCATCGGCTAAGGAGGAGAAGACAATAGAAAGCAAGTTTTTTGCATGTTTTAGTTAATATGACTATCTCAATATTTCTGCTTATTGTGTTGCTCCTGTTATTGGTTTGTCCTTTTTCTTGTTTGAATAGCCTCATGTATTGAAGTGCTGAAAAGGTGAAAGGCTATTGGCGAATTCTCCAGAGAGCTCATTAAGAGACTCCTTACTGTCTAACCAAGAAGACTGACACCAGATGCTTCAATTTATCTGATATTCGGGCAAGTTAAAGATGGTGCAAGCTCTTATTAGACCAGAACATGCTTAGTGACAGTTTGAAATGGAAAACCGTACCCATAAATCGTATATATAATTAGTCAATAATAAGGAAAAATGTCTCTTTTCAGATGTGAAAAAGCAAAACGAGACAGACTAACGGTGTGCTCACACCAAGAGTGAAATCGCAAATTCACAGCAGACGGTGTAATGAGCCAGTTTAACATTTCAGAGTGAATCCAATATAGTTATCTGTTAGTGTGAACAGTAAAACCTGAAACAAGTCTTACAAATCATTCAATGTGGTTTGAAATCTGATGCTTTTCAGTTTGAACAGTGAGATTGCACTGAATCTGAAAAATGAGTCAGGATTGGCTGCAGTGAACAAAGCATTGACTAAAGGTCTGTTCACACTATAACAATAAAGTTTTAATTCTGTTGAGAATAGGGAAACCCACAAAACAATTACAACAGAGAACTGATATCGCTGGGTGTTGAATCACTTTCTGAATGTTTTTTTCCCCTTTTTTCAGCAGATGAACGATAAAAACCTTTCATAATCAGCATCAACTGGGTTGGCTTTAAAGAGCTTGAACTTTAAGTGGTATACGTCATGATTGCAGCTCACACTTATAATAAACAGAATGTTATCATCCATTGGTGTGTGCTAATATAGTTATTGGAATCAACAGGCCTTAACCTGCATGACTATATGAGGTGAATGAACTCATTGATGGTGTAAATCTCTGAATTAATTCATCTCATATAGTCATGTATTGACGGATCAGATAACACACGAACTAATACCATTGTGTGTTTGCGACACTTCAGCACATTGTATCGCACGTTTGCGGTTTAGTCATGCTCACCTTCATGGCTTTAGTGTGCTTTGAGTACTCTCAAAAGACATGATGGCAGGTAGAGAGGGAGTGAGGACCACTTATACAAAATTATCCCATCATCTACTGGCCTCCATCTTTTGTTTGCTTGTATGTGCGCAGCACTGTAGAGCATAACTCCCACACAACTGAACATTGAGTGGCGTTCATGCAATGAATAACACTTCAGGGTTTTTTTTCCTAGTAGTTCTTCTCTCAAATGTACACCCGCAAACAAATTCAAACAGCTCAGCCATGATTTATGCACATCTGAAAAAAATCACGACCCCAGTCAATTCCTCATCTGACCTACTGACACAAAAATGACATTCAACCATTAAGAATGGCACAATTTCTGCTTCATGAAGTGGAACTGATGGTGAATTAACATATAGTAAACATTATCATTCTCATGTACTTCTTCTTCTGATAAATATGATCTTATTAGCCTAAAATGTACACAGGACTCCAACAGCTTTCTCTGAACGAAGGTCCAACCTGAGTCTGTCCAGAAAGACATTCTGTATTCTGCATAATTATAATATTGTCCATAATTAAAATATTTCATGAATAAAAATGTTTTATCTAAAATGTAGTCTCTTTTGAAATAAAGTTCAATTAATATCAAATAAAGATGGAATATGTAATCTTAAGCTTGAAGTGTTGCTTTGGCTAATAAACCGAATTAAATAAGTGGAAGTAATACAATTACTAAAACTAAAACAGAAATAAAATACATTAAAGATAAATAGAACTATTTAAAAAGAAACCGAACTAACAGTAATGACAAAAGCACATTAAATTAGTCAAACTTAAGCTAAAAATTTAAAAAGGAAAGCAAATTCAAAATATGAATACTCTAATAATATATCACTAATACTAATACTAATGCTCTTTTACACATTGCTGCAGAGAAAGAGGGTGAAAGCTCAGAGAAAAGCACAATTACTCACGTGTGCCATCAAAGCGCTTGGCGATGGTGTCAAGAAAGGTGTTCTGGGGGGCCAGGAGCCCTTTCATCACTGGCATGATGACAAATCCTCAGATCTTCATCGCACACAGAACAAGAAAGAAAAGCGAGAGCGAGAGAAAGCAGAGGGGAGCGAGGTGAGGTGATTCAAAGTGTGTTGGTGTCTGGCTTCTACACGGTGCGAATGGCTGCTTGTTAAGGACCGCTCAGTTCAGCAGCAGCAGTTTCACTTCAATCCTCCATGTCTCTGCTCCTCATGTTTAGCAGCACTCAGAAGCTACACTAAGCTCATGGTAGGAGGCATCTTGTCGTCCAGCAGTCTACGTCCAGGATGGTTAACTTCGTAGGGATAGAGTGCTCACTTTCTACAGTCCATCACTATTGTACAGCTGTTCTTGAATGAAAGTGTATGATTTTATGTCGTCTTCTCTCACAAGCACCTTGGATTCAATCTCTGTCTCTTCAATGCCTCACTTCAGTCTGCAAACAGCTTGCACACAACTTAATATTTCTTTGAATTCCTTTTTTCCATTGGTTTCTTAGGTTGTCATAAGGTAGGATGATTCTTTTCATCAGTGGTGTCCTCTCTAAAGCAGGTGCACGATCTCTAATGCATCTCTCTTCCACTCACTGCTATCTCTCTACTCTTCTGTCCCTCCCTCTCTCTCTCTCCCACTCTCTTTCAAAATGAAGAAGCACAAAGAGCAACACTGAAAATGGCTCAAGTAGATCCCAGTGAAAATGGTTTGTCAAAAAAATTAAAATATATGTATATATATATATATACATATCAATTTGATAGGCAATATGTCTATATCTGAGAATGTTTGAAATGTATATACAGTATATAGAAATTATATACATATATAACACACACAAAATATATATATATATATATATATATATATACACAAACACAAATTTGCATAGTAAATTGATTAAATTATAATAATTAAATTTAGCTTAACAGTAAAGCACTGATTGTTGCTGTGTGGATGTAATGTTATATTTGTTAGCAAGACAATAATCTGACTGAAAGCATGCAGAAAAATCTTTTGCATATAACCAAATTAATATGGCACAGGCAGATCTCTCCAGTGACTGAGCGACAGTTATAGAGGCTGAAATGGGAGCAGTACGGAGTCTTAAAACCACAAATAAAGACACTTTAAGAGATGAAGTGGGTTTAAAGGGACAGTGACATTACTAGAAACACAAGAATTAGGTGCAGAGAAAGAGAGAGAGAGAGGTGGTGCGAAAGTGAAAGCAGAACAGCCATCTGTGCTGAGCAGATATTTACATATATTACCAGACAAAAGCAACATCTCCCACAACACACACAGGAATTTCTGTAAGGGTGGAATTTGAAAGGATACAGCTCTGGGTCAATACTTACTGTCAGGGATCTGGAAATGTGTTGTTTTCACAGTGGGGGAGGGATAAAGCATGAGTCTTTATGAAAAGCACTAATCATCTGCTAAAAAGTGTCAGGATGAGGCAAGCTTTCACATTAATACAGGGGCAAGTTGTCACGTTTGTGCATTTCATGAACCATTAATAGGCTATATCCCATGCAGGGGCGGCTCGCCCATAGAGGGCGCTGGGGCGCCGCCCTCCCTCCGACCTGTCTGTCTGTTTTTTTAATATATATTATAATTTATCATTTTGAAAAATAATCTTTGTTAATTATATGCTAATAATGGTTTTACTTTGAAAAGTGTTTTGAACTCACCAGAATGATATTTGCATTCACTTTCGTTACTTTTATCATGTTGGTGTAGTAGTATAGCCAATAGGCTGTCTTCTCAGGGCGCCAGTTCGCTCAGCCCCACAGTGCTGGAATTTAAGCCAATGGTTCCCCGGTTGCTATGCAAAAAAGTTTATATTTCGCCAATCAGCGCCGTCAAATTTTATGGTTTGGGGGCGCTGAAAATATCGCCCACAGTATCAGATTAGGGGAGTGCACTGTGCACGCGCACCACGGGACATTTTTTTACCTCAGATGAGAGAAGAATGGCAGCGCCAGTGACGTCGAGTGGAAATAATGTAAAGTTAGTCGCTCTGTCACTCACTCACTCACTCACACACACATAAACACTGTTTCACTCGCTAGAGCGCCTATTGAGATCGGGGAGTGAGGTTTACTCGCACAGCAACTACTAGCTGGCCTCCGTTACACTTTGTTTTTGATGTTTTTAAGTTCTGAGCTAGATTACTGTGTTTCATACTAGTTAAAATCAACTTTCTTCAGAGCTCTCTTTCAGAGCCTTTTCTCTCTCTCTTTCTCTAGTATCAACACATTGTTATCCATTATCCAATTGTCAATTTGTCAAAAATATGTAGTCTACAGCTGGGGATTGATTAAACTAGATTGTTGTATTACCTATTTTTTTTTGTATTACCTATATTATAATTTATCAATATTATGCGTTTGCACTTTTTCTGTCAGCACACAGAGCATAATAAACATGCAACTTTTTCATTATCATTAACTGTCAAACTGTTATTATTATTATTGTATTATTTGACCATTGGTATTGACTGGTTTAAGTTATTTTATTGGTATAGGTAAGGGCATGGCCTAAGGCCTAAAATGCACCAGAATGCAGGAAATCACATCTACTAAATTCAAAATTTTCTGGGGGGGAACCCCCAGACCCCCCTCTTATTCAGCCCCCCCTACAATAATTTTCACCAGCCGCCACTGATCCCATGCCTTATATTTTAAATACAGATAAGTTATGGAAGAGTTACATCCTCACCCCTTAAGTTTAATGAGTTTTTGATATATTTCTCGACTGCAATTTTTTTTTCTCAACTTTATTGTATTTTACAATTATTTACATCGCCTGCCATCTGCTGACCAGCAAACATACTACAAATTTCTGAAATTCACAAATCATCTTAATAAAACAAGATAATGCTTCTGCCCTCAGACTTAATGAAATGCGCATCATTAACATCTATTAAATTTAGTTGTGCTTTTTATTAATGACAGAATTTCACAAAGCCCCCTGACACTGGTTAACTGTTCACTATAGAAAGCAACTGATTTCGTAAAGCCACAAGAGTTGTAATTTTTTTTTTATTGATTTTTTATTTAGGCTAAGTTACGTAAACAAAACATTACTGTACAACTTTTTTTTATAAAACATACAGCATACATGTGATGATTTATAATCGAAAAAACGTTAAAGTCTCTTCAAGTAGCTATTTTTAACCACAAACAGTTTTTACTCAAATCAAAAAGGCTATTTTAAAAACCCACTAACTCCCGTATTGGCAATTGACGTCAAAAATGAACAGCGCTGGACTGGCTTTTAAAATTGACAAATGTCATCGTTTTTCATACGCGTCTTCTGGTACCGTGGGTATCAGATATTTCATCGGACGCCCCAGTCCGAGTCTTACGGGCGCGCTCTCGGTCCCTCCCGCGTGAACGAGCGGCAGGTGGCCGCCGTCCTCGAACCTCTTTCCCATTGTCAGGATTCCCGCGGCTTGATTCCGTGAGCCGTGCAAGAGTTGCTGCAGGCGGTCTTCGACGCGTCTCTCGCCCACTTTACGTTTGCCAAGAGTCAGAATCCCGACAGCAGCGTCGTTATTAAAGCGACCGAAATGCCTAGCGATGGAAGTATCGTTTCGGCTTCCCGTGCGGCACAGTAACTCGTAAAATTTGCAGGATCTCGAAGTGCTCGTGCAACAGGAGGTCACGGCCTCAGCGTCTCGCGCCACGTGCGCCACCAGCGTCATGAAGAGGAGTAGTTGAACTCTCTGTGGTGAAGAGAGGACGGATTCAATAAATGCTGAATATTATATCATACATTTGAATACGTGTTAGATAATACAATTCAAATCACAAATGCAAATGATTTTGTTTGGTAACTTTTTATTACCTTAAAGTAAAGGTAAAGTTTAATCCCCACATGTTAAAATGGTAGCCTATAGCCTTCTGTTTAAATTGCTGAAAAAACGTATGAACTCTTACCTTTGCTGTGCAATCCATGAGTCTGGCTGCTGCCCCGGTCTTGTACACAAATGTCATGTAGGCTATCTGATGGACTTGATGTTTAAAGTTGATGGTCTGAGATGGGACCAGTGGTTTATATAGGCATGCCACCCCCTGCTCCAGCCTCTGAAGTTAATTACAGGCACAAATGACACTGACAAAATACCCAGTTGATATTACCCCCTTTATTTCTTCAATGTCATGTTTCTCATTTGAAGCTGGATTATGATACAATTAACAATTGTTAGGGTTGTTAGCATCTTTGTCATTAGCGTGTAACCAGGATTGCCTGTATCCAAGTAATTGTGCATAAAGCTTTTTAAGACTATTATAGAGGGGCATACAAGCTTCGTTAGCGAATGCCAGCAGAATGAGTGTGACAAGGCCTTGACTTAATTAGTAGAAAATGCATAGAGTTCTGATACAGTAACAAAAGGCTGAATGGAACAAAAGAGCAGCAGCATCAATAACAAATAAGGAAGGGGAATGGATGGCAGGATGCCTTTGTGTGAAGCAGAAGGTCAGAGAGCGGTTAGCTAATGATGAACGTTACTCTGAACCTGTAAAAAATTGGGCAAGTGACGTCACCCATAGACTTTCTGAATGACGGTTTTGAGGCGCTTATGGGGGGCATGGCATAACGTTTATGGGGGGTATGGCAGTCACCATATTTTGAAGATCTTACCCTGCCCACCTTCCTAACTCTAAAAATCCTAACCCTGCCCACCTTCTGGTCAATCAATATGTAACCCCTCTACCCGGGTCCAACTCGACCCGCCCCGAGCGGGCCTCGAACCCGGGTTACCGGCGTGAGAGTCAGGGGCTCTAACAAGGAGGCTAAAGACTGCAGCCCCTAGTGTCTGTCGCTAGAGCGCCTATTGAGATCAGAGGAGTGAGGTTTACTTGCACAGCAACTACTAGCTGGCCTCCGTTACACATATATGGATAAAAGGGCGGGCTTTGTGTGAGACTGAGCCGTTACAAGATCGACTGGCAGACTAGGCTATACAGTCTATGGCCACTACATTCACTGCAAAGCTGCTGAAGAGTACAACCCATCAAAATATATTAAGGCCCCATTTACACGAAGGGAAAACGCAGATATTTCCCTGCGGATTGCCCTCTCGTTTACACGAAAACCCAGTTTTTATCACAGAAAACGATTATTTCTAAAAACTCCGGCCAAAGTAAATTTCGTAAAACGCCGGTTATGTTTGTCATGTGAACTGGGAGAAACGGCGTTTTAGGTTCTCTCTTGTCGATTCTGAGGATTCTGATAGGTTTGGCATAGTTATGATGGCGCTCGACAGCATATTTATGCGGGTGTGTGAACGACGTTATTTTTTAAAAAACGGAGAGGGGGAAAATATTCGTTTCGCTAAATACCTGGCTTTGTGTAAACGTGGCCTAACACTCCAATGTGGGCGATATCATTGTATTCTTATGTTACATTTTTTCATTTGGCAGACACATTTACGGTAGAGCGTTACAAACGTCAATTATAACCGGTTATAACCATAGGCATAATTTGCGGGTGGGACATGTCCCCACCACTTTTTGCCAGGGTCGATATTGTCCCCACCAATTTTTTACTTGGACACACGTTTTAATCAGTTGCGGAGACACTCTGAAATCCAGTGAAATCACAAAGTAAAATGCACACAAACGTGTCCCTGCTTGATATACAACCACTGATAGACATAATCGGTTTTAATGAGAGAGAAAAAACCCAGAACCTCTGACACGCTTGGCAAAAGTTCTGCCACTAGACCATTAAAGTGCATGCATGTAATTGTGAAGTGATAGTAATTGTGATTTGATTTATATGTGAAGAAGAAGGTCAGAGAGCGGTTAGTTAATGATGAACGTTACTCTGAACACATATACAGTATACCTGCATTACACCCCAGAGGAAGGTCCATTTTGGTATTTACATTATATGTAAATGAATGTCTTTGGATGGAGTCATAGGAGACTACAAGAGAACCCAGACATATTCAGACGGTTAATTATTTAAAAAAAATGAGTAGAGAAATGCAAACATGAAGGAATTCAAAACTGATGCCACAAATATCATCTAAGTTGCATGTCTGTGCATGAATAGTTTGTTTCAACGTCATGTTCCAAAGTCTTCAGTTTGATTCCCAGAAATCGCACTGACAAAATTATTTTTATGAGTGCACAGTAAGTCCAAGACATTTGTGATCTTCTTTCATCTACTCTAATGTTCAAAATTTCAGGGCCAATTATATATATATTTTTAAGAAGGGTATTACATTGATCTAAAGTGACAGTAAAAACGTAGAAAATTTATTTAGTATTTTTTTTTTTTTGGGATTTCACATTTGACAAAATAAAGAGAGAGAAAAAAAGATATGTTTAGAAAATATATACAAATCAATGAATGATAATATTAACAATACAAATTACTAATAATTACTAATATCATCAACCATTAATGATGATAATAAATGGGGGGAGGGGGCTTAGAACATGAAAATATATCAGTTTCCTCAAATATTAAGCAAAGAAGCAGAACTGTTTTCATCATTGATGATAATAAGAACTGATTGATTTCTGAAGGGTCACGTGACACTGAAGACCACTGAAAATTCAGGCTTGTAATCACAAGAATAAGTTACATTTTAAATGTAAATTGTAATATTATTTCACAATATTACTATACGTACAGTATTTTTTTTTTAATCAAATGCAGCCTTGGTGAGCATAAGAGAGAAAATAAAAATCTTACCAACCCCAAACTTTTAATTGGATGTCATTTGAAATTCTGAAAATGTAATGCAACACAAGTATTAAAAAATGACCTGGAGACATTTCTGTTGTCATGTGAGCTTTATAAACAACAGACACCATCTCAGTAAGATGTTATTTGACATTAATGTGACAGTAAACACCCAAACTATATCTCCCAAACATTGACATTTCCTGTTCCTGTGAGGTTTCCAATAATGAAAACTGGTACAGAATGACACCTGTTTACACAATTATAAAATAACCTCAATTTTAAATAACACCAACCCACAATATTAACAGCAGGAATAACAATATTCATGAACAAGGTGTGTTGTGTTCTTCACGAGATGGTCGAGTGTCTTTACTGTACTTTGACTTAAAATGATTAATTCTGCATTTATTGAAATATTTATTTGCTTTTCTGATCATCAGTGGTGCTTTTCTTAACAACTGAGATCCATATTCTCCCAGCGTTTCTAATCTTACCAGTAAAGCCTAGCTCAATGGGACATGTCCAGTTTCCAGTTTAAAAACGATATACATTCTTTTCCTTATTCAAAATAGTTCACATACGCATCACACACACACACGTATATATATATATATATATATATATATATATATATATATATATACACACACACACGCGACACCTGGAGAAAAGCCTTTTTAGGACCAAGGTGTATTGAGCTGACGGTTTTAAAATGCGTAGAAAAGCCACCAGGGGGAGTGAGAGAGTCTTCAGTTGGTTCTATCATGTTAGTGTGAACAGAGGAGGTGTAAACTATGTTGGTGTAAACCTTTGCCTTTCACATGTACTTTTTATTTTCTGTTCTGCTCCGTTTTCCGAAGCTCTCTTTCTTCTCTTTGTAAGCTCAAAATGCTATAGTTCTCTTTCAGCGGAGTAGTTTTGCACTTATTGAAAAAAAAATCTTTCTCACTCTGGAGGTTTAAGATTGATACCTCCATGCAGTTTTGACCCATTTTAGCCTTACTGCAGCCAACATTAAATTTCACAAAAGAAGATATTTTGAAAAATGTATCAACTGTTTTTATCATTCAATGAAAATCACTGGTCTTCAAAACATATTTGGATCCCACTGACTTTCACAGTATGCACAAAAACCACAAAAACAATTCTTTTTCAGACTCAGCATATCTTTTTTGTGTTCCAAAGAAGAAATAAGCTAATAAAGGTTTGGAATGACATGAGGGAGAGTAAATAAAGACATAATTTTCATTTTTGGTTGAATTACTCCTTTAAATGAGTGCATATGATTGAGATTTGGGGCTTTTGTTAGTCGTGGTTAGAGAAGATGATCACAGCTAAATTAAAAAACAGCAGCTGTGTCACAGGAGTGCAGGTCACTGTCATCCTTAAAACACGACTATACGGTGGGGGCAATAATTTAAGACCTGAGCCCGACAGGCATTGCGGAGCTGGGAAGAAAGTAAAGTGCACTGATCAACATTAAACTGTCACCAGTCTGTCCTTCACTGACTCAATGCACCAGACTCTTTGCTTTACTGCTTATTTCCCTATAATAAAGACCAGCTTCTGTGTATAAACTGAAGAAAAAAACCATGACTGTTTGCTTTCTCTCTCTCAGTGCAGGGTGGTGCTGTCCGTCTCAGTCTCGTGGATGGTGTGGAGGGGCCGCGCATGGGGCGGCAGTAGAGGAGAGGCAGGGGACGTGGAGGCTCCGTTTTTGGCCAAGCCGCATGAGTGAGCAGCACACTGAATCTGTCGCAAAGTGTCTACCGCTTCTCCTTTTGCATGCTTCAACAGGTCTGCCTGGCCCTAAAAGACAGGACAAAACAGAGAAGTGTAATCATTAATGTCCTCTCTAAAATTGATCTTAAAATTGTATGAAGGAATATTAAAAACAAAAAAAAATTAAATATTTTTAAAACACACACACACAATTTTAACAGTTATTATTATTTTTTTGATTGTTATAATTGTAGTATAGTTATAATAATCATAAATTAATTAAATAATAATATGATAGTTTTAGATAGCATGTTTGTAATTGCAAATAAAAGACCCTAAATGAAGATTTGGCAAACTGTCCTGAATTAGATATTACTGGTATGTGCACAAATGAACTATCACAGATTTTATATAAAAATGAATTATTTTTTAAAGAAACGTTTTAAAAAAAATAATGCCTGAGAACGTAAACACAGGCATCAGATAACCGAAGGAATAACCGAAGAACATTATACATCATGCCAGAACTTAATGTGAAAATGTATGTAAAGATAATGTTTAATATATATATATGAAGAGTTCAGA